GCGGTGGAGAAGTTCCGACCGTTGCATTTCGCCACTTTGCCAATGACCGCGTCAATGAGAAGTGGTTCCTTACTTTCACGACCACCGCTCTGTCATCCATTTTGAGCACGTGACATCATCTGATTTAGCTCCAGATGACGAGTGATACTTGCGCTCAAAATGGATGTCAGTGTCTTATATAGGGTGGGTAGATACGTGATTGAGCGGTATTTGCTCCTGTCTGTGGTAACCTGATCTTTAGGAACCAAGTGAGTGATCCCAGAAGAGGCTCCGAAGAGATTTCTGGTCGAGAGCCTCTTGAAACTGTCGGGCAAGTACAGTGTGACACACTACGAATCCCTTCAGCCAGTAATGATGCAGCTTGTCGAGCCTCGAACTTTTTCAGTTCGAGGCCCTACGGATCGTCTTAGCCACGTCTTTTGGCGTTATGGTGATGGGGTCAATAGGCGTAACACTCGCACCCTGGCTTGCCACAACTTTCATTCAAGGGCCCTCGCTGTGGTTTACGGGCTCTGACCACAGACAGATTGGGGGAGACTAAATCTAGTTCTGTTTAACCCTCAGAAGACACAAGTTTGCGCATTAACTGCCAAAAAGAACCCCTTTGTCGTATCTCCTCACTTTCTCCTCACTCTCTAGTATCGGAATCCTCGGCGTCGATATATCGAGTTACGTGCAGTTTCGTGGTCACTTGGAAGAGAAGGCCAAATTGGTCTCTACAAAGCTTGGCGATCTCGGCAAAGCGGGACGGTATTTTATGCCGGCACATTGCCTGCAACTTTACAAGGCTTAGGTACGGCTGCATATGGAATACTGTTCCCATCTCTGGGCGGGGACTCCCAAGTGTCAGCTCCTTACGCTTGACCGCATCCAGCGCAGAGCGGTTCGAATCGTCGACGACCGAATGCTTTCCGATCGGCTCGATTCACTGGCGCTGCGAAGAGATGTTGCATCTCTTTGCGTATTTTATCGCATCTATCACGGAGAGTACTCTGAGAAATTGTTTGGATTAATCCCAGTAGCCATATTTCGTAAACACACTACGCGGCAAACCTCCCGATACCATCCACACCATCTGGATGCTTGGCGGTCCACCACTATACGTTTCACAAGGAGTTTTCTTCCACGTACGACCTCTCTGTGGAATAGTTTACCGTCGGCAAGTTTTCCAGACGACAAAGGGACTTTCAAGAAAAGAGCTTACTCCTTTCTAAAGGGCCGGCAACGCACCTGCAATTCTCCTGGTGTTGCGGATGTTCATGGGCGGCGGTAGTCATTTAATATCAGGTGAACCGTATGATCGTTTACCTCCACTTCTATAAAAAAAAATGTACCACTTGTATCCTTCGACTTCCTTCATCTCTTATTGGGGCTACTCCATCTAGTGGGGGTCCGACTTTGTGTAGTCGCGGTGCTAGAATATCCAGTTCCGTATATCGTCTTGTGGGTATCATGAGAGGCAACAGAACGAAACATACCAAAAGATAGGCTGCGGCATGTTTCTGATAACCACTAATAAAAAAAAAACTGCATTATTCATTTTGTTTTCATAATTCTTTACTTATCACGTCACTAATTTATATATATATATATTATAAAAATAACAAAATAATTAAAAATACAACGAATTACATTTGTCAGCCACATTTTTATTTTTATTAAAATTTTCACGCTTCTTCACAACTAATTGAACGAAAGTACATAAAAATGAACTTTTTTCTCGTTATTACTTCATATCCGAATTCTTCGCCAAGTCGAATTTTTTCCAATATGATTTGAATTTTCGGTCAAATTCAACTGGCACCTGTCAGGATTGGTTTTAAATGAAATGTGCGTCGATTTCCGTCTCATTTCCACCGACAACTTTTCGATCATAAATTGTTTTTAGTTTATGTTTACTCGCGACATTTCCTTTTTCGTCGAAACTTTCTTGAATTTTGGAAGTCGTATTTTTCAATTATTTTACCAAATTGTGTTCGGCATCACATAGATTTTTTGGCAATACTTCGTGTTTAAACTTAACTTTGTAGAGTGTTCGAACAAATAACATGATCTAATTCCGTTTTCTATTGTCGAAAAACCAAATGCCAGGCGCGTTTGTTGTGGACATTCCAGGCATTTGAACTAAACGGTTTGCCACGCGGCAGCTTTTGCTGTTGCACTTTTGGGCCGACTCGACCCGGGGTGATACCACGACCTCATTTCGTCTAGTCAGTGCAGGTGGCCGGAGGTCCAATTTCTTCCCCACCCCCACCCCCTTTAACATGGTAGTAGAGTTAAATAGAACACTACCCCAGTAAGGCACCAGCAACACTGGTGACGGAGAATACTTCGCTGAGCATCCACGCCCAAGCTACCCTATTCTCCCTGAGCGTGGGTGCTAAGACTGCCCCGCGTATTCGGGATGAGTGGGCGGGTGTAATTTCGCTCGAGACTAAACCTGGTAAAACAGTCCGTGATTGGCTGCAACATCAAAAGGCTTCATTCACACCTTAACGCTGCTCACTACCATCTGAAAACGGTGAAGCCGGCCTTTCTCTTTCAAACCGATACACAGATGTCCTCTATGGGTGATAATTAGTATCTCTCCTACCTGGGGTACAAATAAGAACGCTTTCGTGTGCCCTGGAGTTTGCGTGTACGTCAGAAGGACATCTGTTTTCGGTGCCTCGGCAGCCTTCAAGGTACAGACCTATCCATGCTATGGCTGCGCGTGGACAGCGACGACAATCCCCGCGTCTATGGGTGCCTCTATAGCTTACTCCCATAATTTTAATGCCAACTTAGACCGACTAATCGACCACGTCCAAATGGCTGCAGACTCCGTGCTACAATAGGTCCCATCCGTAGAGATCGTGATACTTGGTAATTTTAACGCCCACCACGCTGAATGGCTTGGTTCCCGTTTCACTGATCTATAGTAGATCTGTTTATGACTTTGCTTTGGTATATAGTCTGACACAACTGGTTACCTCTCCTACGTAGGTCCCAGATGTGGAAGATTATGTACCTTCCCTGGTGGACCTTCTGCTGACCTCTCATTCAGGACTCTGTCAATGCCCCTCTTGGCTCCTTGGACCATTGTCTGATCCGGTTCAGTATAGATCAGACGATTGGGACTTCTCGCTGGATGATCCCGGCATTGTTGCTGATTCTGTAGCTGATGTGATGGAACTTTTTATTCCATCATCTGTGGTGCCTATCGGAGGTAGAACCCAGCCATGGTTTGGTCGCTCCTGCAAAATTGCATTACGCCATAAGCAAGAGTGCTACCAGACCTAGGCTCTCATCAACGTCTTGGGATGCAAATAATAGCGCTCTTAAAAAAAGGTATAATTTACGCCTCCAGGTCCTTCAAAACTGTTATTGCCAAGGCACAGTCAGATCACATCGGCAGAATTGAGAGAGAAACTAGTTTGACTTCCTTCGGAAACACGTGCGTTCTGGTCTCTAGGCAAGGCTGTTCAAGGGAACTTCTTTCAGCCATCTCTCCAATCTCTGCACAGGGAGAACGACTTACTGACTCATGCCGCAAAGGACAAAGCTGATCTGCTGGGCTTTCTCTTCGCGCCTAACTCGACTCTTGATGACGGGGGGAACACACCGCCGACCATCCTGCGGTGTGGGTGCTCAATGCAGGTTGTGCTGTTTACCAAGCACTCATCGCGCAGAGCACTCCTCCCTCTGGGCGTCAATAATTCAAAGTGAGCCTGATGGCGTCCCTCCTATTGTGCTGAAGATGTGTGCTCCGAAGTCCGAAGTTGGCACTGGTTTTAACGCGTCTTTTCCAGTACACCTACACCCTAGGCGTAGTCCCAAAATCATGAAAGACAGCTTTAGTACACCCGATACCCAAAACCGGAAATAATGGAAGCCATTATAAGCTGCCAGCTCATAAGTTACCTTGAGGATCACCAGGTGGTTAGTGATCGTCAGAACGGTTCCCATCGGTGTCGCTCAGCTGGTAATCTTGGGGTTACCTAACTCGTAGATGGGATGAATTTCGCCGAGTACCGAAACAAACCTGTGTCTCTCGAGATCTCGGCTAGGGGCGACTAAATCTAGTCCAGTTCAATCCACAAAAGACAGAATTTTGCACATTTATCGTAAAAAGAACCCCTTCCTCGTATTTACACTGAGTAAATATGACGAAGGGGTTCTTGTTCAAGGCTCTCCCCTTGTTGCCTTAGTATCGGAAACCTCGACGTCGACTTATCGACGTGCAGTTTCGTGATCAATTGGAAGAGTAGGCCAAATTGGCCTCTAAAAAGCTTGGCGTGTTCAGCAGAGCGGGACAATATTTTCAGTTGACAGTAAAGAATTGTTCGGAATAATTAATAATTTCACTATCGCACATTGGGACAAAACTCGCGATACCATTCTTACCATCTGTATGACTGGCGGTCTACCATTGTGCGATTTAAAAGAAGTTTTCTTCCTCGCACAACTTGCTTGTGGAATCGCTAACCCCCAGAGATTTTTTCATACCTGAACCTTTTTCATACAGAAACCTTCAAGAAAAGAGCCTTCACCTTTTCAAAAGGCTGGCAACGCATCTGCAACTCTCATTGTCGTTTCGTCTCGTGGTGTTGTATTTATTCATGGGCAGCGGTAATCACTTACCATCAGATGAGCCGTTTGGTGGTGCTCATTTGCAGGGGGCAATCCTATAAGAAATAATCTTCCTATAAAGTTTAATAATGTATATGTAAAAGTGTACAAAATGCATAAAAATGGTGAATGGAGGCGTTGCAAATCCTCCTTCTCTGGGTTGACCTGAGTTGACTTTTTCGAAAATCTATGACTCGTTCCGAATCGTACATATAACTTATTTTGCTCGTTTGCACAAACGTTAAGTCAGCGCGGTACACAATATTGGATTTTGTCACCTTTTGTCACCCACCTACTACTAAGTGGGAATGTAGTGAAATATTGGTTTATATTAAGTAAAGTTCAGGTAGCGGGTGTTTCATACAAAAATTACAGTTCCTAAACTGGCATTACTTCACTTCTATGACACTCCTCAAATTCATCTGTATTTCATGCACATGTATGGAATCTTTACGACTATACAAGTCATATCTGAAAAATATTATATTGCACGTTGTATCTATCCGTCAAAATATAAAATTACAATGTTATTTTATGTTCGGTTTGTCAGGTAGAAATCGCGCGAAAAATGTTACTTCCAGTCAAATGATGCGATGCGATCCGTTTGTAGTTCATAAGTTTTCCGTTATTGTAATAACTTTGCGCAAATGCAATAAAGGGTTATCTATCTATCCATAATACACCTGTGGACACCCAATACGAGAATACTCAAATCTATTTCTCTCTGATTCATTCATTTCAGCCTATTAAAGTCAACAACTAAACATAGGCATCCCATAGATTGCCCCCATGGGTTATTTACCATGGTTGTCGACGCTTGGCAGGCGGGTAGTCACCGCAGTTTTTATTTTCTCGTGGCTATTAGGAAGACGCTACTGCCCATTGTCTATTTAGCTCTCTCTGTCGACTGTTACAATACACCCGGCACGATACGAGGTAGTTGATATTCTTACACCGCAACTGTACGGTCATTGAATCGTAGAATCATTTTAGAAATCTTAAACATATGTCAAGTGGTGGCAATCTGTTTCATTAAGTGGATATAATATGAGGGTACTATTGGAAGTGCCAGAAAAGTCTTATGGCCTTCGATAGTTCCAATGCCGCATACGTTTAATACTCATACCAGTGAAGGGTAGCATCCTCAGAGGAAGGAGCGAAACGTCTGCTTCTGCGATCAGAAATCCATCTGCCAAGTGGACAGTTAATACAAATCCCTAAATGGAGAGACCCATGTACAGCATTGGGCTGTAACGGGCCGATGTTATGTTAACATTTTAATTTACAGCCTATACACAACCAGGAACAGGCCTCCTCTGGTTTTCTGATGGAAGGGTCTGCCATGATTCCCCAATGAGTGTTTGTGGACTTCACTGTCTTCTAAATATATTTTTTGAATTTCTCAGACAAGGCGGTTTTCTCACGATGTTTTCTTTCAACAACGAGCATGTGGTAAATCATCACTTAAAGTAGCAATTAAAATTTTTAGTGGTGCCAGCGGGGGTAGAACTCGGGTTGCTCACGTTATACAGAAATTGCTTAATTCCTTAGCAATTTTGGCTTGCGATAAGATGAAGAGTTAGAAGAGGAAAATCTTTACTTAAATAAATTCATATTTACTCAAATAAATAAACTATTCTTGCAGATTGTATCATTATCAGATTTATATTAAAATATTTAAATATATTTTTTAAAACAAACGCACATGAATAACTAAACACTCGTATGCGTTATTAATGCTGTCGAAAATAAACAATGCGGACCTTCGGCTGAAATTTTTTCAATTATAACGCCTGCATTTGGCCAAAGTGCATTTTGCTGTAGATATCTCTAATTTGAAGCGAAGGCTCTGATGAGACTGTCGAGTGAGGTTTTATTTGCCAACTTTGGTTTTAACTTTAGTTATATTTACCATTTTTGGGAAAATGTTAAATGTAACAAATTGAATTATTATAACGAGGCATCTTTCATACTACTAAGTACTTCAAAATAAATATAATTATTTGGTCTCAAGTATTTGCTATTTTGTGGCGATACAAGATAATCGATCTATCCCCTTGGTCCCGTGGATGGGAATTATGAGAAATGCTTGAAGATAAGGATCTGTGAGCTATATATTTATCTCGTTTACCACTCACACATTGAAACACCATTACAGCCTAAAAAGTCCGTTTACCACTCACACATTGAAACACCATTACAGCCTAAAAAGTCCGTTTACCACTCACACATTGAAACACCATTACAGCCTAAAAAGTCCGTTTACCACTCACACATTGAAACACCATTACAGCCTAAAAAAGTCCGTTTACCACTCACACATTGAAACACCATTACAGCCTAAAAAGTCCGTTTACCACTCACACATTGAAACACCATTACAGCCTAAAAAGTCCGTTTACCACTCACACATTGAAACACCATTACAGCCTAAAAAGTCCACTGCTGTACATAGTCCTCCCTCATAGATTGCTTCATAGGGGAGATATTTACCATAGAACAGACAGTTTTTTTATTAAGTTATTATTAGGAAGACGCTGCTGCCCATCTTCTGGTGCATTTCCCCTCTGTTATTTTCTACGACAACCACAGGATGATATGGGGCAGTGGATGTTCTTAGGCTGATTGGTGTTCATGTTTACGCCAGGTGACGAGAAGAGTACCAGAAGTCTCGCATCAAGGTGTGAGAAAGTCGCCGTAACACACCGATATAACTACGAAGAGCCAGCGACGTCAATGTAATTGACAGAGTGAGAGCACAGGTGAGAGACTGACTAGTGATAAGTGACCATTTAGTGACGTAAAAATAGGGGTGCCAAATACTATATGATTTATCGATATTTCCTAAGATTTACTATAGCCATAGATTACCATGTTTATCGTATGATAAAAGTTGATGTAATACTGTTTGTATTATTAACTTTTGTCATAGAATAATATTAATACAATATAACAATGTCCTACTTTACTTATAATAACACTATACTTCTGTACTTATGCTATACTTGTAACAATATTAATTATAAAATATGTAGCTAGTCTTTTTTTATAGTATAAGAGTGATAAACGAGCACACAGTCCACCTTATGGTAAGTGGATGTTGTGGCCCATAGACATCTACATTTTTAACCTCGCTTAAGAATCAAAATGCAGATGCGTTGTCACTCTTGAGGACTAAGATGGAATGCCTCGATTCCAGTAAAACGGTTCTTCGGTTCTCTACACTCACCATACGAAACACAGCAGCAGTAAGCTGCTATTTTACGCTGGTATTCTGTGAGAGCGTGGTCCTTCCCCGGTCGAGCCAACCCATTCATGCTACAACATAATAGCTCCAGTGTGGCTCTACCATGTTGGAGTCTATTCTAGTCTAGTCTAGAGGATTAGTCTGCAATATTGCTCATTTTTTAATCATTTATAATTCATGCAGTAACGACAAATATTTTTAAATAAATATTTTGTTAAAATTTTAATTGTCGTAAAGTTGATACCACACCACACACTTTTCTAAACCATAATTAGAAAACCCTGTATAATGATCATGATGAAATACCTAGGTTTTGTTCACTTTAGTTTGTGATCATATCCTAGATGGCCCCAACCATTACATAAGATTTGATAGACCACAAATCCTTGCGAAAGAACACCGATTCCTACCAAGGATGATACGTGAGACTATTGAAATTAAAAAAACATTCTAATTTCAATAGAGAAGGAAACTAAACCCAAGCATACCACTGCAAGACCTCAGGACATAGTCAGTTAATTTTGCATAGATCGGACCATAAACAATAATTAAAAAAGCTGAAGGTACTCCGGATTTAACAATGACATCGGGACGTCAATCATCTCAGTCCTCCATGACCATGGGTGCTGGAAAGCGCCCGAAACGTCGGGAATTAAAAATAAAAGTAATTAAAAGTAAAATAAACGCGATAAAATTCGTAAAAGTAGTTTTAATCAATGTTTTTATTGTAGTTTATATTTGCACTTTATTCGTAGTAAATTCAAAATATGATGCAGTTTTAAAAATATGCAACAGATCATTAAAAATCAAAAAATCGATTACAATCGATTGGACGTCCCTAATAATTTTTCGACACCACAGGTGTTTGGCGAAGATGGCAGCGATTATTACAGCACACGATATATATTATTATTAGTCGAATAGAATACTTTTGAATGTTTATTTTAGCATGCAACTAGTCCGTGTTATAAATGTGTTTGCAACTGATATAATAAATAAGATAATTAATTATCGTGTATGTCCAACGCTTTTATTGAACGGGGCGATTCTGGACATTGTCATTTAGTTAACAACTATTTGAGAAAAAAAGATTTTATTTAAAAACAATTTAGTCTTGAAGTAGCACAATAAAGTTATGTAGCTATTATTAAATTTTACCGCTTCCGTCATTTTTTTAATTTGAATATAAAAAATAAATGTATATATGGCCAGTACTTTTAAGATTTTTGTACATAATAAACGCGACACACCCCTTGACAATGTTGATGTGTGTCTAATATTACATTTCTACGTGGTAGCCACACTGCAACTATATTTTGAATGTAGCACGAATGGGTCAGCTCGACCGGGAAAGCACCACGCCCTCACAGACACCATCTGAATGGTGCTTTGTATCGTATGTGCCTGTTGAATACCGGAGACCTTTTTTTTTACAGGAAACATGAAACAACGCATTTGCATTTTGATACCAAGGCGGATGTAGATGTCTATGTGTTAAAGCACCCACTCACCGGCAGGTGGATTGTATGCTCGTTTTTCAGCCTTATTCTATTAAAAATATAGACATATGGATCGCTAGTTGGAAATTTGTACAAAACAGGTATTAGCATAATCTACAAATAATTGTTCTGGTATAAATGTTTATCCATTTGCAATTTATGTAGTACGTAAACGCTCACGATTAACTAGAAATTCTTAGTGAGGAAGTGTTTTTTTAAATGTTACGACGTTTTTGAGGACGAAGTAACAAAACAACAAAGAATAAATTGAGAATAAACGGATTTTGATGCGGTTTGCAGCAGTCAACGCAGTTTTTTTCAGCTTAAAAAGTGTTACAAAATTGATTTTATGGAAATTTTTCAAGTTATTTTCAAAAAACACTTTTTAGAGGTTTCTTTCGACAACAATATATTTCGAACAAATCGACCGATTTGGATGTGGTTCACGGCAATCGAAGTCGTTTTTTGAATAGAAGAGCTGATTAGATTTAAGAACTAACTACTCGAAGTAATTATAAAAACTCGATATTCACACACACACACACACACACACACACACACACACACACACACACACACACACAAAAAAAACACACACACACACACACACACACACACACACACACACACACAACACACAACACACACACACACACACACACACACAACACACACACACACACACACACACACAAACACAACACACACACACACACACACACACACACACACACACACACACACACACACACACACACACACACACACACACACACACACACACACACACACACACACACACACACACACACACACACACACACACACACACACACACACACACACACACACACACACACACACACACACACACACACACACACACACACACACACACACACACACACACACACACACACACACACACACACACACACACACACACACACAACACACACACACACACACACACACACACACACAACACACACACACACACACACACACACACACCCCCCCCCCCCCCCCCCCCCCGCCCGCGTGCGTGCGTGCGCGCGCGCGCGCGCGGCCGCCGCGCCGCCGCCGCCGCCGCCGCCGCCGCCGCCGCCGCCGCCGCCGCCCGCCGCCGCCGCCGCCGCCGCCGCCGCCCGCCGCGCGCCGCCCGCGCCGCCGCCGCCGCCGCGCGCCGCCGCCGCCGCCGCCGCCGCCAGCCGCCGCCGCCGCGCCGCCGCCGCCGCCGCGCGCCGCCGCGCCGCGGCCGCCGCCGCGCGCCGGCGCGGCGCGCGCGGCGCGCGCCGCGCGCGCGCTCGCCGCGCGCGGGCGGCGCAAGGCGGCGCGGCCGCGCGGCGGCGCGGCGGCAGCGGCCGCGGCAGGCGGCAGGCCGCGCCGCGGCCGCGACGGCGGCGCGCCGCCGCCGCCGCCGCCGCCGCGCGCCGCCGCCGCGCCACGCGCCGCGCCACCGCGCCGCGCGGCCGCGCAGACGCGCGCAGCCGCCGCCGGCAGCTGCGGTGCGGCGGCCAGCTGCTGCCGCCGCCGCCCGCCGCCGCGCCCAGCTGGCTGGCGGCGGCGGCCGCGCGCCGTTTTTTCGCAGCGCCGCCGCTTGCCGCGCGCCGGCCAGCCGCCGCCGCCGCCGCCGCCCGCCCCCCGCCGCGCCGGGCCGCCGCCGCCGCCGCCGCGCGCCGCCGCGCCAAGGGCGGCGGCGCCGCCGCCGCCACGCGCCGCCAGCGCCGCCGCCGCCAGCTGTTGCAGGCGAAGGGCAGCAAGGCAGCAGGCACAGCACGCCGCGAAGGCAAGGCAGCGCAAGGCAGCAGCAGGCGCAAGGCAAGGCGCCGCGCACGCCGCAGGTCGGCACAAGGCCAGGTCGCTGGCAAGCCAGCCGCCGCGCGGCGCAGGCGCAGCGCAAGGCCGCACGCCCGCACCGCAGGCACGCAAGCGCACCGCAGGGCCGCAGCGGCACACACACACACACACACACACACACACACACACACACACACACACACACACACACACACACACACACACACACACACACACACACACACACACACACACACACACACACACACACACACACACACACACACACACACACACACACACACACACACACACACACACACACACACACACACACACACACACACACACACACACACACACACACACACACACACACACACACACACACACACACCACACACACACACACACACACACACACACACACACACACACACACACACACACACACACACACACACACACACACACACACACCACACACACACACAACACACACACACACACACCACACACACACACACACACACACACACACACACACACACACACACACACACACACACACACACACACACACACACACACACACACACACACACACACACACACACACACACACACACACACACACACACACACACACACACACACACACACACACACACACACACACACACACACACACACACACACACACACACACACACACACACACACACACACACACACACACACACACACACACACACACACACACACACACACACACACACACAGAGTGAGAGAGAGACGGGAGAGAGAGAGAGAGGGAGACAAACGGACATCATTGCAAGAATAGCCAGAATAATTTCCTAGGACCTGGAAACATCGAGATCTGATGAGAACTCCATTTTCAAAAACCGGGGTGAACACAATGACTTCAGAAGTTAAATAAATATCTTACCGATAAAATAACCATATTTTTGAAGGCTGTATTCATATTATGATAACTTTTGTAAGAAAACAACCAAAACTGTGTAAGTTGTCATAATAAGTTCTAGTAGTGAGTATCTAATGTGCTTAGTTCGGCTTGACCCCCATTTCATAGACGCATTGAATTGTGAATCACTAAGATGAAAAGCGATAAGCGTCGCTCAGAAAGACATTTCGGGGAATTATTAATACTTATTATTTTATAACTATAACATTTTATTAGTGTTATGAAGAGCGGCACAATGGAAATCTTTAAAACTCTCTTAAGTCAAAAGTAAGAAATGGAATAAAGACGTTATAGCTTATATTAGATCTTTATCTATGAAATTGCCGTTTTTTATGGAATAAGTTAACGTAATTTCTTTTCTATATCTTTTTTTATTTCTATTAATCAAAGTATTCACCCATGCAATCAATGCATCTTTGCCAACGAGTTGGTAGTTTAATGGTGCTCTACTTAAAGAACCATTTCTTCAAAGGCATCTTGTGCTGCCTCTTGAGTATTGAATGTTTTTTCCCGCATAAAGTAATGCAAATTTTAGAAAAAATTAAAAGTATGCAGGCGTAAGGTCTGGTGAGTACGGCGGATGACAGAGAGCTTCCAACCCAGCTCTTGTAACGTGGAGCCCGTCTGTTTTGAACCACGATCCATCTAACTTGATAAGCGCTTGCGACTGTCAAACAGAATCCATTTTTCGTCACAGGTAACAATGTGGTTCAAAATTCCATCGTTTGTATGCCTGTTGAGCAGTGCAGTTGAATTTGTGGGGCATCAATTAATCAAGTTTTTTACCTTGCCAATTTGATGCAAATGGACCAATATTTTTGACGCTAACGTCGAAAGCTTCTGCTTATTCTGCCGTAGATTTAGCTTCCACAATCGCCTTCAATTCGTCATTATCAACCAAAGTTTTGGGACGACCTTAGAGTTCATTTTTCAGGTCGAAATATCCAGAAGGGATATAGGTAAACCAATTACAGGTGGTGCGTTCATTTGTAGTATTCGTTTCCTACACGTCGTTGATGTTGCGTACCGCTTGTGCTTTGTTAAACCCACGACGCAACGGTACTCATATTCCATAATTACTCGAATCTAAGATTCAAATGCGATGAAAACATAACGCTAATCAATAAACAAATGACAAATTTTCACAAAATAATTCCAGGTTTTTAAAATAAAATTAATTTGAATTTTTAACCAAATATAAATTATTTTGATTTAAATGACCAGTGATGCAGAACGGCTATTTCATTGGTAAAGGCCCATTGTAAGTCCTACAACTGGGCACAGGGCTCTCTCATTTCTAAGAGGTTTTTAGGGCAGTAGGTTTAGAAAAAAAAGGCGCTAAATGGCTTATTATGGTATATCAGAACATTTTGAGATAAGTTATTACGTATGTATTTATTTCTAAATTCAATACACATGGAATAAGTAATAAAAATTTATTATAACAATGGTAAATTTAGAGTAAAGAAATAATTTTTAAAGAAATTTATTACTCAAATGTCTATTTGTAGTTTATATTAACTATTTATTTAAGTCATAATTTATTTAAATGTAAATTAATTTACAATTAATTAATAAACTAATTGAATATGTTTTAAATGATAATTTTTGCACATTAACTTGGTATTTATAAGAAATAAATGTAAACTCTATAGTAATTAAAAAATTTAAACTTCAATAAATAATTAAATTATACTGTAACTGATTTGTGTGCCTAGTGCGAGTTCCACAAAATTATTCGAATGATTTCACCATCGCGTTAATCGAGTTAACTTCGTCGGTATCGACAAGCGAAGACGAGCGAGTGTGAGTTACAATCGAAGCTAACCTATCGATACGCGTTTGCTCACTGTAAATGGCGTTCGTTCCTTCCTTTATGTTGGTAGCACTTTCGCGTCGTGAAATAAACTAACCAAAGGGCATTGCCCACTCTTCATAGACATTTCGGCCATGGGTGCCCACATATAAAATCATATAGATATGATAATATACAATTAAAAGAATGAAATGGTTAAGAAATTGGTTTAAAAAAAGTCGGGAATTTTAAGATATAAAAGTTTTTATTTTCACAAATACAGTTTTTTAACAACTAATTTTACCTATGTTATCACGTTTAATTTCTTTGATTTTTAATTCCCGACGTTTCGGGTGCTTTCCAACACACATGGTCATGGGGGATTGAGGTGACTGGTGTACCGAAATCAGTGTTGACTTGGAGTAACTTCAGCTTTTTAATAACTATTTATGGTCCGATCTACGCAGAATGAACTTACTGTCTTGAAGTCTTGCGTGGTATGCTTGGGTTTAGTTTTAATTTTATTAATTACAGAGTCCCAAGCAGGTGGGAGTACCCATCTTCATTCTCTATTGAAATTAGAATGTTTGAATCTGGGTGCAATACATTACCGACTTCAGATTGCAACGAGGATGAACTAGATGATTCAGATGGTTCCCGTTCTGCAGTTGAATGTGATGCTGCTCTATCAAACCTTCGCCAACAATTATGACACACACGAGATGACGATGGCAACTGAAATAATATTAAATACAAAAGTGAAAAAGTGAACTAAATAAAAATAAAATAGATTTGTTTCCTTTAAACTCAAATACATATAAAATATTTATCAAGTTAATTGTTACTGCACAAAAGCAGACTTAATGGCCTATATTATTTAATAATTAAGCACTTAAGTTAAGTTTGCAGGTCGATTCCAGTCCAAAAAGCCAAGCCAAAAGTCGATAGTATGTACGAGAGCCACGTGAGTTGAATTGGGAACGGTGCGCAGTAAACAAAGGAGCAGAGCGTACTGAACTGATTTGCTGAGAATAATAACAGCTTCTCTACCTGCCCTGTTGTTGTCTTTTTTTAACGTAAATATCTCTATCTATCTATCTCTCTCTAACATCTAGGGTATTTATGCCCCATTAAAATTCCTAGAAATTGTAACAAGAACCCATTTTGGGCATGTAGTAAAAGTGATTACTGACAATTACAATTTAAGGAATTTGGCCCCTGTTAAGAAATAATAGACCCATATTTTTTTATAACTTGTTTTCCTAGAGTATTATACCATTTTGGAATGTTGGTTAGTTGCGTCAATTTTTAAAAAAAACTTGCCATACTAGTGTTCATACTTTTTTTTTACACCACGATAAGTTAAATTTGGTTAAAAGTAAAAGTCTTCAAAAAATTTAGGGAATAAAAAAGTTTCATTAATTTTCGTTATTTAACAAGAGTTATTCTGGATTTTTAAGAATTGTGGTAGATAGTAGTGCTATTCAGGTTGCCTATAAAAAAAAAGAAACAAATATTAAAAAAATTGTGGTCATGGTAGTGAAAAATATCATAAACGGTCTCAATTTCTGAAGAATTTCATTTTTTTTATATAACATAAAATATAATTAGGATATATATATTTTTTTCTTTTTTTCCCCGATTAGTCCGGGGCAGGTCTATCCTCCGGTGTTGGCTTATCGTTAAATTTTGGGACACGTTGTACATAGAGGTCAGTGGTTACGTCTCGAACGATTGAAATTGCCACTCGCACTCGCAATATACTCGAGAGCATTTAAAACGACCAATCACAAGCGTTAACGTTTTCACTGTCAAATGCTAGTCAATGGGTGCGTTTGGCAGAAAAAAGCACTAGCAAGCGCTTTTAAGGAAAATGGCGATCGTAAGCGGTAAGCGCTGTCAAATCGTAAGTAGCTATTTTCCTCTAGGACACGAAGTTGGCTTAAACCAGGGAACCTAACCTAATTTAAATATATGTTTGTAAAGTATTCATATTAAAAACTTACCAATCATGAATTTTTTACAACATGTTATATATTTATTCATGTAACAACAAATTATAAACTCTACTTCAAAAAAAAAAATTAAATAAGCAAAATGGCGGATTGTTTCAACGCAACGTGTTCTGGCCGAAAACTGTTTTGTTTCGCCATTTTGCTTACAAGCGCTTGCTAGCGCTTTTTTCTGCCAAACGCACCCAACGTTCAATGGTCGATATCGACGACGTAATAAACTCGCACTCAGAAATTGTGTTTCAAATTATTGTCACTAGTTGGCGCTTTTTTTATTCCATACAAATCGTAGTTAACTTTATCGCTATCGAACGCGTAAAAAAACTCGCACCATAGATTA